ATCTCAAAATTGTATAATTTTTAATGAAAAGTATTTCAGCCAAGTAAAACTGCAATTTTTTAATCAAATTGTTTAGAATTTAGTTTATTTTTATCAATTTTCTTTCTTAGTGAATAACCACCTTTAATTTTTAAGTAACATTACTGCAATTTTTTAATATTGACTCCATACGTTTGTAACTCTTTTAAACCTATCTAATAAATACAGAAGTATAGGCCATCACTAGAAACATATTATGAACAAATAATAATGTAAATAAAAATGTCTACTTATGTGGAATTTGAGATTTAATCAAATACTCAATATCTCAAGAGTATTGAATTACAAAAACTAAATAAAAAAATATGTATAGGTACTTACCATGCATACTGGAAGTTAAGAATACCTATACGTTCCTATAGGATTCGATTGTTTGAATTTTTTGAATCAAATATATCTTATTACTTACTAGTTATTACATTGATGTTATTAATTTACTTATCTATCTATAGGTAGATACCTATCTATTTACATTTAGATATTAAATTCAGTGATCGGGTATTCTTATTCTGATTTACGAACTATAATATTTGATTAGGTAGTGATTACATTTACATATTTGTCATACTCACATTTTTATGCGTCTACAGTGAAAATAAAACTTTAATAATTATTAAGTATTTTCCGTAGAACATAGTATTTGAATTCTAATTAAATTAAAACCCGTTTTTTAAACTTTCTTTTGTTTCTATTAAAAAAACGTTTGTATAATATTCAGTATCATAAATTGTTTGCAAGTATTGCATATATTATAATACCTATTTGTATTGTTTATTTTTAAATTAGATATACAAAGGCTACTCATCATTGCGTTATTTATTGTAATTATTAGCTGTGCTATTACATTTTAATGTGATACATAGTGCCATAGTGTAAGAACAAAATCCTGTTTGTGTTTTGTAATTATTGATGAAGTAATCAGGTACTTACTTTTAATCTAAAATAATATTTTCGTGGGTATGACATATCGATTTGTCTAAATATTGTATCAAAACAATTTAAACATAATTTAAATGTACAACTTTTTTTTTTTGAAAGTCAAATAATAATGAAATAAAAAACCGATGTCAAACCCTCTAAAATATTATCCTCTATAATATCTTTAATAGGTGATTTTAAAACAAATCATAAAAACGATCTTAGGTGAAAGCATTTTATCGACGTTGCGCGTGGGTCTGCGAGATAATACAAATATTGCGTTGCATTAAGGGGAGTAACGGGTGAATGTCCCAAGTGTCAAAATGTAGGGGTTGAAAAAGTTAAATATTAGCCTAGTGATCAAAATATATCAGTGAATTTTCTCACCGGTGAATTAACGAATTTTAATTTATCGATTTTTGGTATTTTGTTGTACCTTAATTCAAAAACGAATAACCCTAGACACTTCAAATGGTTACCAAATATTAAAATTACCATTTTCCATACATAGTAAACATTTTCAAGCAATGTTGACTCTTTTTGAGTTATTTATAGCCACGATAATTTTTTTTCACTTAGAAATTCATAAACGTTTTTCTTTCCATTGCTAACATTAGAAATGTCAATAGAAAGTTAAAGGACAAGTTGAAATATTTTTTCATAATTAAAATTGATTTTCTAGAATCATATATTTTTTTCTTTCGCTTATTAGTCTAAATATATGAAAAAACGACCCGCTCCCAAAAAACCCTTACCACTAGAGCTCTGGTACTCTGCTGTACCAGGTAATCTCGTCATTGAGTAAGTCACTGTAAGTAATGGTTGTTAAATTTGAATTCAACGAGAAATCATTAAAAGTCTACAAAAAACAAATATGAACGGAAACGCTATGTCAGACTCTATTTCTAAACTGCTAAAAATATTCAATGGTAGGTTGAATTTGAACTAAATTTTGATTAAATTGTCGCACAGTATGCTATAATATTTATTATCATATTTTCATTAACTTTTACCCTATATAATTTAACAGTTATGTCCTATGTTCCGTAGAATTGTGTAAATAGGTTTAGGAGGAAGGAAAGAAATAGCTTAAACATGCCATAATTTAAATAGCTGCTTTGTAAATACTAGTATCTACATAATATATCAATCCTTAGATTGTTTAATGTAAATTCTACAAGATAATGTACATGATATCTGAGATATTAGCAATCTTGCATTAAAATTAAAAAAGCTCCTTGGCACAACATTAACATAATATGCCATGAACTTATAAATAATGTAAAATGTATTTTTACTTAAATTATCCATTTCAAATTTATTTTTAAAAATGTTAAGATAATTCATATTGATAGAATTATACAGTTACAATCAGTCTTTAAAACTACATTTATACACATTAAATTATTGTCCGTTATAATAGGTATATTTATAAATTATTATTATTTTCAGAGTTCAACGACGTTAGCAATCAAATGAATGAACTAGCACAAGAATGCAAAGAATAAACATTTTCAAATATTTCACCTAGTATGTAAAACAATTAGTAGCTAAAACTACAAGTTAGAACATATTATTGTCAACATTTAAAAATTACAATAACATTTTAAATAACAAGTGTACAATATTGTTTATAATTATGGTGGAAATTAATATAAATATTATTTTTTAAGGGATTGTCTTAGAACTAATTTAATTATTAATTTCAGATTCAAACAACAAAGTAATAAAAAGGGAAAACAATTAAAACAATTGTATCAGCAACATTTTTATAATTTAATATACTTTAAGCAAAACCAGTGTCGTGAGTGGTCTCCCAAAAAAAGTAATTGTATTGAATATTAATATTATGTATGGTTGTAGTTTTAGTCTATACATTAAGATAGATCTTGAATCATGGTTGATTTTCAAAGATTTAGAAAAACGATTCTATACCCTGTTCAGTGAGAGAACGCGCCGGGGTTCTGTGCATGTAAACTGACGAACGAACGAGGTTTCGTTTCCCCTTCTCTGGATGTTCCGATGGCGGTCGTCAGAGTGTGCCCTCGATTGTTGGGCGGTTATGCTCAAAACCAGACCGATTTTGGTCGGACCGTGGCCTGTTCTCTAGCTGGACAGAGTGTAATAATCCATTCTTCCAACTATCTCTTATATAATTGAGTTATTCCAAATAATGCTTTACATTTGTCAGTTAATAATTTTAGAAAATACCACGACACGACACTACACTAATTTACTTTTTTAATTTCAATAAATTAAATACAACTTAACGCGTTATAGTGTAACAACTTTCCTGTTTAAATATAAATAACAATATTTACAGAAATAACCCAATTAATTGTTTAAACAAAATAATACTATATATTATAGTATACAGTGTGATCACAATAAGTGGAAACACTCAATAACTATGTGCAGGCTTCATATATTTCAATTCTGATTTTTTGTCTAGCTAATGAACATAATTATACACATTTTTACTATTTTTGTGACAGTTAATTTTGGGCATGCTCACATTTTTTTTTTCAAATGGCATGACTAATTTTTGATCACAAATTATTTTTTTGTGTATTTTTCAATGAATTTCAGTGGTTGAATTTCTTTTTTAAGTTAAAAAATGGTCGAGTTATAGTAATCTGATTTTACGTTATTTGCATGGGTATAACAGATTATAAAATAATAATAAATACGTAAAATAAAAACACAAACATTGATTTTTTTATTCCTAAAAGTTTTATTTATCTAACAAATTGTTCAAACTGTGCACCATGGTGCTAAACAACATTCAATACGAATTAAAAATTATCGGTTAATAGCAGAAATAATTTGTTCCTCTGTAATTTGATTAAAGCTGCAATTATTTTGTTTTTCAAATCAAGAAGACACGTAGGTGGATTGGCATACACAGCCGTTTCCAAGTGACCCCATAGGAAGTAATCTAGTGGTGTAAGATAACTAATAGATAAGTATTAAATCTGTTTTAAAACTACAAGATATTTATTTCTTATTAGTTACTGACACTAGTGGCACTTACTGCAGACTAATATTGAAAGTCAAAAATTCCTTAATTTGAATTATAACTGGTACCTATGCATGTATGATATTATTTATACATTACTAAATAGGTAGACAGATACTTCAAAAAATTGTATTAGTTATTTTAGATTTTATTATTATGTATTTATTATTGTTTTATAATCTGTTATACCCATGCAAATAACATAAAATCAGATAACTATAACTCGACCATTTTGTAACTTAAAAAAGAAATTCAACTACTGAAATTCACTAAAAAATACACAAAATAATAATTAATGGTCAAAAATATGTCATGACATTTAAAAAAAAAAAAATTGTGAGCATTCGCAAAATTAACTGTCACAAAAATAGTCTAATTATTTGAAAATGTGTATAATGATGTTCATTAGCTAGCCAAAAAATCAGAATTGAAATATATGAAGCCTGCACATAGTTATTGAGTGTTTCCACTTATCGTGATCACACTGTATACAAATAAATTATACTGATTAAATAAATAATTTCATACATAAATGTATGTTTAAATAGCTATGTTCTTTGAATTATTTCTTCCTATCATTAACAACATAATAACATTTCTATGAAAATAACGGATAAGTTACTAACGGACACTTTAAAGTTTCAAACAGTACAATCCAGTTAAACAAAAGATTTTTTGTAGTTAATTATTATTCAAAATTAACACAATAATCAATTAATTACTATTTTTTAAACATTAACAAAGATTATCGGCAGGAAGAAATATTGCTGATATTGATATATTTTTTTTTTAATGTTTAGTATTTATAATACTTGCATATAAAAATTAAAATTATTTGACTAGATATTATATTATTTAAAAAATTGTAAGTAATTACTTATTTTTAGAAAATTGGTTATAATTCATACATAAAAAATGGCTTCAAACAAATAAAATCAATACAATCTAATGGTAACAATATAAATATATATATAAATAATATATAAATTAGGCACATTTATGGTGAAAAAAATTATTAAAAACTTCAAATGTTCTTTAAAGTTTTCCTTACAAAGTCGTATGTAGCAAAACTAATTCCGGTAGCAATTGGACCTTTGATCCAATTCATACTTAGACCCTTGAAAAAGCCTTGTCTAATGCCTTCAGTTCTAGAATTAATATAAAATGTTTATAACTACAGTTATTTATTTATGAACAATAATAAGATTTTTGTGAAAGGTTGAGCACTTTTGTATCTTTATGGTCGAACAGTATTTAGCACTTAATACTGTAGCAAGTTTCACAAATAACTCATCGCCAATTCAAAAAAACTAAAACAATTGAGCACAAAATTACATGCAACACTGCCAAACAATTTATTTAGTAAGGAAAATTGGTTTTTATTTTGGACATAGTCACAAGTCGAACTTTATGGATAAGTAGATAATACACTTGCACACAAACAGTAACTTATACATCAATATTACAATTAATACTTTTTTATAAATATGATTGAATTTGGCAATGTTGGAATAAAAAAGAGCGTGCTCAATTTTATTTTTACTAAATAAAAATACCTTACTTATAAATTATTATAAATGTCGTTCTGAGGTTTGTGTAATTTATTCCAGTAATTATTGATGTTTGCATCTTTCGTCTAATAATATCTAGAGGATACGATGATGATTGACCAGCCATACCTGCCACTGCACCACATGCTAAATTCACAACCGTATTTTCATATCCATGTTTTTCTGTATTATGAAATATAGGTTTTAAAAAATAAAAATGGTTTTATTAAGTATGCCTTTTATGAATATTTACCTTTCATAAATGTCTTTAATGAGCCATATGTGAAAAAACTTGTACCTGCATATGGTATAATTCCTAGTATTGTGGGCACATATCCTCGATAAAAGCCTTTTATCCCTTCAACTTTGAAAGTCTTTTTGAACACCTAATAAAAAAAATAATATGATTTATATCAAACATTTAAATTCACTTATAAATATTACGTAAAACAACTTTTAATTGATTGCGATTATATGACGACAGCCTGAGAAAAAATGTCAGGCAATTTTGGCAATATCTTCATGTTAACATATACATAATTTGGGAGGGACAAGTAAGCTAAGGAACTTAGCTTTTCAAACATTTTATAACAATACCTATCAATATTATTTTTTTATAGATAGCAATTAGTTCCTAAAAACTTCACAACTGAACATTTGACTCTAAGTGGGCCAACTAAAATAGTAAAGTGACTAATTTATTTACAACATTAAGAAATTTTTTAAGTGAATTCTGAATTGTTTATATAAATAAAATTGATTACAGCCAAAAGTCATCCAGGCAGTGTTGGGTGAATTATTTTTGAAAAGTAATAAAATTACATTACTCGTTACATTAAATATTTTTTTATAAATTACAATCGTGTCCTGACATTATTTTTATCAAATTACGTTACATTTTCATTAAAAAGTAGGGCGTTACAAATAACTTTATTTTTTTAAAAATGTATTACAAGATAAGTCCAAAGAACTAATAAGTATTAGGTAATAGGTAAATATAGGTTCTATGAATTATTATATAAATTGTATAGCAGAGCCTTAACTAGGGTGAGGCGAGCGAGGCACTTGCTGGAGGGCCTCAAAAATATTAAATGATGAACTTAAGAAAAAGTATTAATTATTGTATAATACTGATACGTAAATTTAATATTATATTTTCAATATAAAATATATTTCTTCATTGATTACTCGTTTATTACTTTATAATTATTGAATTGTTATTATTATTATAGTTTTCTATTTTGCTATAAGTAGTATTTATTATGTTACCTTAATGACTTTATTTTCCGTTTAATCTAAGACCGGTCGGCGGTCGGTACCTGCTTAATATCTACATTATATCAGATAATGTACGAACAATACATCAATTTATAAATAGAGAACAAATTTTGTGTAGTGTATAATATTACTGCTTTGATAATTTGACTTAGTATTTGCTGGTCACTGTTTAAGGCAGGACGCAGGTGCTTAGCTTTCTGTTTTTTCCGTACAAGAATTTACCTATTTTTAAACAATACACATAGTTTTACCATTAATACTTGGGCTTAAAAATTATTTGCAAGAAATTTGTGACACAACTATGGAAGAAAAATTTTACAAATGCTACAAAAGTTGCAGAAGAGTTACAAATATCAACAACTTTAAAGGAATCAAGAACAACAAAAAAGAAAAGATTAGAACTTTATGAATCAGATGATGATGTGATAAATATTTCTGCAGGACAAAATTTTAAAATTGCCATTAAAGACTCAATAGATATTCTTCTTATTCAGATGACTTGGCGGTATGAAAAAATTATGGAAATATCAAACGATTTTGAATTTCTTTCCGGTCATTCATTAATCAATATGAATACACACGATTTACAAAAAGCAGCTGCTGATCTAGGATTAAAATATAATGAAGATATAAATACTACCGAAATAGTTGAAGAAATTAAAGATTTTAAACAAGTAGCTTTATCAATTTTGCCAAGTATTGAATCAGCCACGTTTTTGGATTTATTACAAATGATTCATGATTATAAGCTATAAGAATCTTATCCAAATATTTCAATTGCTATAAGGATTTTTCTCTCAATGGTCAATGCCCGTCTCAACAGCTTCATGTGAAAGAACCTTCAGCAAACTAAAATTGATAAAAACATACTAGGTTTGTGTGGGAGTCAAAATGTATATGTATTAATTCCTGAGATCTTTAATAATATTGTTGATTATTATCTAAAACTTTTGTATTCGTAAATATATTTTATTGTTTATTCATTTTTCTCAATATTCAAGCCTCCTAGTATTTGTCATGCACTTTACCTTCATAACTTATCTTAATAACATGGAAAATAAGACGTTAATCCATAGAAATTAATTTAAAAAGTAATTTCATTTCAATTAATTACGTTAATTTAAATAAAGTATGATAAAATTAATACGGCATAAATGCAAAATTAATTTTGTTACAGTAATTTGTAATTTTCATTACGTTACTACTACTCAACGCTGTATCCAGGTAGGTAATTGGTAATGCCAGAATAGTCCAGGACATCGGGAATCTCCAGGGATCAAAGTGGCCCAGGCCGTCACTGCAGTTATACTAATTCCATTTTGTTGGTTAAGACAGCGGTTCCCAAACTTTTTTAGCTCACGGCGCCCTTTTTGAACTAAAATTTTCTCAAGGCGCCCTTCCCAAGACATAGCATGAATTTATTTTTAGACCAGGTAAATTTCTACGGCGACGCGGTGCCCCTGAAAAGACATCGCGGCGCACCAGGGCGCCGCGGCGCACAGTTTGGGAACCGCTGAGTTAAGATATTTTTAACTAAATAATTAATATAAGTAACTACATCAATAAATAACATTTTAAATTAAATACTTTACATCTCCCAACGATTTATAATCATCTTTGGTAGAAACTGCCATTCTTGCTCTTGCCAAGTCTAAAGGATAAGTTAGCGTTTGTGATGTTACTCCAGCTAAAGATCCAGAAAGAAACTTAAGACCTCCGTTATTTCTAAAAAATATATATAATAATATAGTATTGAATTTATGATAGTAAAAAAATAAGCAGCAATGAAATTATAAAATAGAAATAATAAAAATGAACCCACCTATTTATTAAAACTAAAATATAAATTAAATGAATATCAATTAGCTTATTGATCTAATTTCAGGCTTTTTAAAATATTAATTAAAAATGTACAAATGTGCATGGAAAAATCAATTTATTATGTTCAAATGTAAACATAATACTAATATTTCTGTATTAAAATTGATCATTAATTATTAAAATGTCTGTACATAATATTATAACAAGAAAATCTAAGATATAAAAATCAAAATTATAGGCCTTAAGTCCACTGAACATCCAAAATAAATTTAATACTGCTTTTATAACTATTTACTATTAACAATAAAAGTAATAATTGTATTTACATATATTTTGTTTTAACTAACATTTAAATTAATAATACCAGATATACTAAGGCAAGTAACTATCAATTATTTATTGTTTTATTTTTCAATAAATTAGAGTATTAATTATAAACAATATAATAGTTACTAAATAGTAAATAATACCAGCTTAGTAGCATATAATAAGTGCATATAATTTTAAAACTAAAATTTAGTTGTAATACCTATTTTATCATAGAAGAATCGAAAATAATTCTGTACATAGTAGTAAAGACAGTGAAACCCCAAAACAGTATTTCATAAATAAGTTACATTTATTGTCGAATTATATTTTAACTCAAATATTTATCAGGTGGAGGACCTAAAGAAAAAGTAATATAAAAGATAAATAATACATTTTTATAAATATTAAGGTTGCTTGTTTTAAACTAAAATTGAAATTAACATAATGAATAATGTATTCTCATTTTAGAGTCAAAAAAAATATATTAATGTTAACATAGAAGATAGAACTATTTATATATTTAAAAATGTTCATTCCTTTTAATTAGTATGTATTTGGCACAAAAAATGAGCCTAATTAAAAAAATTACTTTGCGTTTAGAGCATCAACCTTCAGCAATTTTCGCCATTGTTCAAATGCTGTAAATTGGATGGCTGCATATGGGATGATTCTGGTCATGGTGGCTGTATTTCCTCGCCATAACCATATAAAACCATCTTTTGCATAAGTATCAGCCAAAAATTTAAACGCAGCTCTACCAGAATACGGTTCTTGAGATATCTAAATATTAAAATTTACAAATATTTATAAACAATTACATTTATTACTGACTCAAAAATAAACGATAATTTTCAATCATCTACAATACTTACTTGAAAATTGATTTTAGTTCTATCTAATGGAGCGATTGTACTCTTGGCTAAAGCACCAGCGATGGCGCCCGCCGCCAAACTGTGCAACACGTTCGTAGAGTTGGAATCATGTTTCTGAAACAAACAACCATTGTTATTCAAATTAAACTTGCTCTAGAAAAAAGTACAGTAGAAATTGTTTATAATGACATCCAAGAGGCCTAGGAAAATAGGCCGTAATAACCGATAAACTAGCAATAACATTTTGCATATAAAACTTACATATGCATTTATCGGTCTCTTTAATTTAAGGTCATAAAACCCGATAATATGTCACTACAACCGGAGACATTATAAACGATTTCTATTGTAGTTTACGGTTTATTTACCTGTGTATCGTGTGCCATCATGCACGCCGAAGTGGTCGGAGGTATTTCTCGTATTCCATCATTCATGCAATGAACGTTGAAGTCTGTTGACAATATATTTGGCAGCTGTGGACCACCATCGGTGTCCTTGACATAGAAATGGCATCAGGAAACGTTCGCGATGTGTAATTTTTTTCAGTGCGCTGCAGTCATTAACGCAAACTGTGAAGTAATTGATACGATATATATTAAAGTTAAGTAGTATTACGAAACCGAATTAGATGCAAGTACAAATAATATCGTTTCGCTAGATTTTGTTTTTTTACTCTGTTGTTTAAAGAGTAACGTCTGATAACGTCATCGTTATCGCAACTGATAACGAACATGTGTTAGCTTCGATATTAGATCATGAAATATTAAAACACTAATTATAGGTACATGTTGTGTTTTCTGTACATGATCATGATTACAAGTTAGCAATCTACTTATACTATTGTTCTGTGCTTATACTTATGCTATAATCTATAATCTATATAGAATATAATATATACATTATAGTTTATACTGTATTATCGGTATGTATGTATGTATGTATGTATGTATGTATGTATGTATTGTAAACAATCAAGGTCAAAGTATAATATTCACTTTTTAACACTCAACAGACGTCACTAAATACATTATTGCCATTTGCTGGGTTGCACAAACAATCACTAATCAGTAAATATTAGGTAATTAATGAATCAATATTTATAGAAGCTAATGACCCCTGTCCCCTTAACTTGATTTAGAACTTACTACTCAGTAAGACAGTAGCATGTTTCATTGTTTCATTAAATATAATTATGTTTTTCGGCCAGGTACAATATATTTTATTTTTCTAACCGATTTTTTCACTGCTTTGTTTATCACCATAAAAACGAATAAAATATAAAAATTTCCTAATTCCCACTAAGCATATTATATTATACAATTTATTAATGGTTAAATATTACTACATATTTATAATTCATAAATTTTCTTCGAAAAGGAGGATATCGAGTAGTGCGCTACTTTATGTCACATGATGACCACTTAATCTTAAATTTATCAATATCTATTTTTATAATTTTATGTAGGTAACTACTAACTTGACATAATATATCACCTGCATAATATTACATTATATTATTTACATACCAATTTCCCGTTGCAGAACTACTTCAAGTTTGCAACAATACGCCCAGTTTCTAATTTCCTATATCAAATTACCAGAATTAAAAATTTTGGTGTGACCGTAGATAAAAAAATAATTATTGATCGTCTACAATTATGTTGGTTGTTGAACACTTTGTCTTAGATGTTGTCTGTTTTGCTGTTGACTGAATGCAAATCACTTGCAGTGTAGAATAACTTTTATTATTCGTTAAATAATACTAATTTGTACTAATAGTATAATAGGTGTTTGTGAGTATATAACGATACGCGACACCGACACGCGCATTACTGTATTAGTAGGAACCTTTTATAAAAAAAAACAACACAAAACAATAATTATAGTATTATACATTATATATAATTTATAACTATCTAATCAGGGAATTAAATGTCTTGGCTTTCATAAGTATTCGTTGTAAAATGTAATATCATGTAACACTATTATGCGTTTTATGAGGCATAAAACATTATCTGTATACCTATCGGCTATCTGCAAATACCAATGAACATTTTCAGTATAAGTGTTTTTATTGTTAGTAGTTTTTTTATAGAATACCTATTTAAAAACAATAGTTAAAAAATAGCAGTAATATATGCAATAAATACACAAAAAAAAAATTTAAACTTCTATCACAAGTTTTTAAGTAAAAATAAATCGAAATTAATACAATAAAGTATTTTACCATCAGTTTTGTTTTGAAAACTTCACTAGAAAATTCTTCAATGAACTGTCTTAATTTTGCACCATAACTATAACTTGGAACTTTAGGACTTCTTGGTCATTTCTATTATGTAGTACATGTTACACTATAAATATCACGTGCAAATATAAATGTTTGTACCTATCAATGCACGACTACATGGCAAACACAGAACACACTTGTCGCACACTAATTCACTGCACATAAATTCGTGAATTTTCCAAGTATATAATATAATATATTATATGCAATTAATAATTAAACTGAGAAAATATTGGATTTTAATATACTTGATTTTAATCTGTAGTCGGTACTGACTACTGAGTGATTCTTTAATCTTTTAACTGTAAGCACTCTGTATTATATCGAAAAATCTATAATGTGTATAGATTTTGAATAAGTATATATTGTGTGTGCCGCCATTTTCCCAAGACTGAGATTTCCTTCCCTTCACTCAAGACACTGTTACATTTTTCGGAACATAGGTGTTGATGACTAACCTAACCTAACCTAACCTAACCTGTTGATGACTTTTTTCATACAAATTTTACTTTTAGTGAATTTTGTGATGGAAGAATTTCCGGGCGAACTATAAATCTAAGCTAGGTAGTTTATGGCACTGTCGAGTAACAATGTTTCAAATTAAAATTTGTAAAAATCCTTATTCTTACTAGGTAAATAATTGAAAACTGTTTTTAAAACTAAGTTTATATTACTTAGATTTTTTAAATGAAGGAGATTATTTTATTGCCTCAAACTGCGCTATCCTATTTATTCAAATTGTGATATATACGTTGATAGAAAAAAAATTTGAAAATTGTTACATATTTTTGAACTTAGGTGTTTTCAACATACCTGTATAGGAAGCTATAGCCTATTAGTCCGAAATATTGTGTAGGTATAGTTTCAATAATTTTTTCTATGATGTCAACTTTACCTTAAGAATTTAGAACTGCATTGCTTTGCTTGTTGAATTTTAGGTGGTAAGTGAGACAGCCAAGCTAATATTTTCTCCAACGTTACACCAAGGAACTTGCCGGTCAGTTTCCAATGGCGATTGCTATATATAGTATATATTGTTAAAATGTAGCGAGGATGGAATACGGTTACGACGTATAGAATGAACAAAACGCTGACACCAGTGGCGTCCGCAGGATTTTTCAATGTAGGGGGCTTGAAAATTAATTACATTTTTATTTTGTCCAGTCTAATAATTTCTGACGTTTATTTGAGGTATTTTAAAATGTTTGTAACTTTTCAACTTTTCTGGTAGAAAAAATGCTCTGATCATAAGCTTCGATGCCCAGTGTATGTTTTTGGAAGCAAATTGGATCTAGTTTGTACTTTTAGGAGGTCGAAATTGAAAATGCTCAGTGCTTTTAAAAATAGTTGGAGAGAAAAAATGAAAATTTATTTAAATGTTTGGTTATACCGTCTTCACTTGGATTGTACTTGAATAATTAAATTTTTTTTCTATAAATGTCAATAAAAAATTATTTATCCGGTCAAAAATATTAAAAATGTAATACGTAAGTTATTTTTTTATAGCTAAAATATTAACGATACATAGTGTGAAAAAATTTCATGAAATATTTCAGTATTTTGATATATTTTGTTTTATTTTTAAATAAGTTTTATATTTACAAATAATTGTCATAAATTACCTTCTTAACTGTATGTATTATGTATACCTAACATTTGGTATTATACATTTAAAATATTCAACATTTTTAAATATTTTAATGTTTAAATGATACAAGTAGGTATACAATATTATACATGCATATTGTATAAATACTGAATTCTGTCATTAGAATTTAGAACACTGAACATTGTGTTAAAAAAATAAATAAATTGTGTTTTTATTTGTGTAAAAAAATTTCAATGTGTCACGTTTTTGTGAAATATTTCATACTTCAAACACTACATAGGCACCATGGTTATTTTTTATAAGCATTTAAAGTTCAAATTTCGTCAAAATGACAGTTATTTAGTAGTTCAAAACTTATAAAATATAAAATATATATAGCTAAGGCTAGACAATTTAATACAAGGTCTTTCATACAAGAAGTTCATACTTTTACCTAAAAATTTACAGATAATTTATGAAAATTGGTATGCAAATACAATGTTCTTTCAAAAATGAATTCATTCTGGTAAGACATATATGAAATTTAATTCTTGCTTACTATAGTTGACAGTTTTAATATTTTTTTTAAAAAGTAACAATAATACGGGCAATGGGGGGCTTCAGCTCTTTAGCCCCCCCCCCCCTGCGGACGCCACTGGCTGACACTTTTGGAGTGTATAATTGATATTTTCTAACTATTGACCTAAGATTATAATACATTATAAATGATTTTGTAAATTAACTGCCGTTGCTTCAATGTGACAAGATTTAATGCAGATTGTAAAAATAATATTAAAAACTGCAAATATTTAGTTATAACTAGAATTATTAGCATAATAACATTAATATTGTAGTATTATTTTTAATTTAATTTTTGTTTTAATTATTACACTAAATTAGGCTTAAACTGTTTTGAATGCATTGAATATGAACAATGTGAATGATTTACATAAATATAATTATATAAATTATAATGTTTTCTCTGGGCAGGCAACTGTCTAGAGACTAGAGAGTGAGGCCGCCATCCCTTGAGACCCCGACCAGGAATGGCAGAAATCTAGTGATGCCCAAGGAAAATTCTACTAAATCTATAAAAACACACGTGTTTTAACCAACCGTCCCCTACAAACAAGTCCAGTGATGGGAAAAGATAACCAAAAAATCATCTGGATAAGATAACAGATAATTCATTCAAAATGTATCTAGATAAGATAAAATATAACATAATTTTTTTTATCTAGATAAAGATAAAAATAGACATAAATTCATCTAGATAAAAAATATAGATAATTCGTTTTTAAATTATATTATGAACAATATAATTTATTACTTTATTAGTAATAACTAATCAGGTAATATTAATAAGTTAATAAATCCTTAATGTCATTTCGTAACTAAAATAATATACAATTTTAATGTTTAATATAACTTAAATAAAAATAAAATAACAAAATAAAACTGACAATGTTTCAATAAACATTTCTTTTTAGATTCTGAGTGGAACACTGGAACGATGTATTGATTTTACAATGATGTGTGTTTTTTATTTTTTTTTGTGT